AGATGTGAGAGAGAAACATCAATGAGTTGCCTCCCACATGTGCCCTGACTAAAATCAAACCATCAAACCTGTCCCTTTGGTGTACAGATGATACTCCAACCAAATCACATTGGCATCCCCCAAATTGATCAGCTTAAAACAACAAACATGAGATAAGTCTCTGTAGCTTAGGGATCAGGGAGCTTCTTAGCTGGTGGTTGTGCTCAGGGCCTTTCATGGGGCTACGTTAAGGTGTGGTCATCCGAAGGCTGGACTGGAGAAGGATCCACTTCCAGGCTCCCTCACGCACTGGCTGTTGGCAGCTCAGTTCCTTGCCATGTGGGCCTGTACATACTGGATGTCCTTTTGACAGGACTGGTGGCCTCCCCAGGGAGGGTCTTGAGAGGGGGTGGGTGGGGAGAGCACAGTTTCTTGGTGGATGAATGCGTGTGTGTTTTTGTTGTTGTTGTTATTCTTATCCAAGGATATTTTCCCCATTGATTTTTAGAGACAGTGGAAGAAGGGAGGTAGAGAGAGAGAAACATCAATGTGAGAGAGACACGTTGATTGGTTGCCTCCTGCGTGTGCCCTTGACCAGAATTGAACCTAAGACCCTTCAGTCTGTGGGCCAGTGCTCTAACCACTGAGAAAACTGGCTAGGGTTGAATGTGTTTTTATGAAACTGACACACTGCCCACTGCGCCAAGAGGGCTGTTTGAGTTTTCAAAAACTTAATCTTGAAAGTGACATCCTCTCATTTCTGATGTATTCTATTTGCTAGAAGTTAATAACTACTAAGTCCAGCCCTCACCCAACAGGAAGGAATGGAGCTCCACCCCTTTGGGGGAGAAATATCAAAGAATTTGTGGACATATCTTTAAAACCACCACAGCACAGTTCTGGGCATGTAGCAGACAAATTCACTTCTTGGTGAGTCCATTTCTAGGCAGTTTTTAGGGACACTCTAATTTTTTTTTATTAGTAATTTAAATTCTTTATTGTTTAAAGTATTACATACGTCTTTTTCTCCCATTGACCTCTCCCTGGCCTTTGCCCTTACCCCTCTACTGTCTGTGTCAATGGGTTATTCTTATATTCGGGACACCCCAATTTGGTCAGGTGAAAGGAACTGGGGCTCTCCAACAGACTGTATTTGGTACACAGGAGACCTCTACACATTGAAGATTCTAATCTTTCATTTTCTATCAGGAGGAGGGAAGATTCTTCCAGAGGTCTCCATAGTGCTGTGCTGGGTCAGTCAGGCCAAAGACTAGCAGAGGAACACACCCACGTAAAATTCTCTTCTCTAGACTGAGAAGTTGCCCTCCCCACTCAGTGCTGTGTCTCCCCAGTGGGGGAGACAGGATTTTGCCCAATATATATACATACACACACACACACACACACACACACACACACACACACACACACACATATAATTGTTTATTTCAGAGAGGGAGACACAGAGAGAGAAACATCAATGATGAGAATCATTGATTGGCTGCCTTTTGCATGCCCCTACTGGGGATCAAGTCCACAACCTGGGCACGTACTCTTGACTGGTCTCGAACGCGGGACCCTTTAGTCTGCAGGCCGATGCTCCGTCCACTGAGTCAAACCAGCTAGGTCTTGCCCCCAGCGATTTTAAATTTCAAAATCAGATGTGATTAAAAAAAAATAATGTATTTATTTCACTATAGAGTATAATCACAAATTTGGGCAAGTGGAAAAAAAAAAAAGCAAAAACAAAAGAAGACTTCTGCAAATCTTAACACAACCACCGATGACATTGAGGCTTCCTTTCTGTAATAGGCTGGGTTCTATTTTTATGTAGTTTAAAGAAGTTGCAACTACAATTTCATATCCTGTTTCTTTTCACTTAACTTCATTATATTTTCGTTTTTGAGAGCTGTATAATTGGGTGAATGTGCCATAGTTTACTTACTTGATTTTTCTCCTTTCCCCCCCAATTAGTTCTATATATAATAAAGATGTTTATTATAGTTTGCTGTAATTATTTCCTGCCCATGTTTTGACTTTTAATTTTTACCAACTTCTTTAAAATAATCCCATTCGTCCCATTGATTAGGTACAGGCTAGAGGGGTGGACCGGAAATGTTAAACCTTTTTGTCTGGGGAATTACTCTGCTGCTTCTAAACCTGGAATAGCCTTTCTTTTATGAAAGCACCCCCTCTTCATCTCCTGTTTCTATATGGCTTAAAAAAAATTCATCTGGAATTAGATTTGTAGTATGAAATAGGGTCTAAAATTAGATGCATTTTCTTTCCCAAATTACTACCCAGTTAGACCAACATTATTGATTGCATGGACCTGCACAATCTTTTCCATTGGTTTGTGATTTTTGAAAAATACCTTATTCTTACTTAGAATGGGGTCTGTTTCTGGCCTCTTATTTCACTGACTGGTCTCCTCTGCACCAATAGCTTTGTAATATTAAAAAAAAGGAATTAATGAAGTCAGGCCTTGGCTAGAAGAGGAACTTGGTCCAGCTGGGAACAATGAGATCTGCTAGGAGCGAAGATCAAGATGGGATCTCTAGCAAATACAGCAATGATCTTCATAGGAAAAAAGTAGTTCTGTTTGAAGCCAACTATCTATAGTAATCAAAGTGTAATATGCTAATTAGACTGGACGTCCTTCTGGGTGAAGCTGGGGCTGAGACAGGACCATGTCCCAGGTGACTGCTGGCAGCTAGAGGGAGGCCTGGGTTCCAGGTGCCAGAGGGAAGGCAGTGCCAGCAGCAGGGTGAAGGCCTATTCTTTTTTAAAATTTTTATTTATTTTATTTTTAATTTATTAAGGTTATATTTGTCCTCAACCCCCCATTCCAGTCCTCCACCCCGGAAGGCTACTCTTGCATGCATTTTGTGCATCAGGCCTCTGGTCCTATATAATAAAAGCCTAATATGCAAATTGTCCCCTCAGATGGTGGTTTGACTGCTTGCTATGATGTGCACTGACCACCAGTGGGCAGTGTAGAATATGGCGGGTGTCAGTGATGTGGTGCTGGCAGCGGGTGGCAGTGGAGATGCTGCTGGCCCCGATGAGAGTAGGACTGTGGCAGGATGGTGGAGCAGGTGAGTGGGCAGCGTCAGACCAAGGCGGGTGTGAGCGGGGCCCAATCGCCCTGCAAACAGCGACCAGTGGTGGCAGTGGGGGGTGGGGGACCTGGCCCTAATGATGGGATGGTGGAGCAGGTGAGAGGGCAGCGCCAGGCCAAGACAGAGTGCCAGGTGGAGCTGCAAGCTGGGGCCCCAATCTCTGCAGGCCACCCAGAGGGACCCCACCCATGCACAAATTCATGCACCGGGCCTCTATTAATTTATAAGAATACCAGGGACGTTGCTCAGACATCTCTATCAGCTGAGCAAGAATGGAACCATGTCTTACTAAACACAAATAAGGCTGGCGGATATTTTGATGGAATTAACAAGTTGGCAGACGACAGGAAAAGGCAGCAGATGCCACATATTCAGGCATCAGTAAACCATGTGCTTCGGCACCTCGAGCTTTTATTGGAAAAGAGGCTCAGCCAGCCTTCAGTGATCTGGTAGGCAAGATGTCTATTAAATTATGGGCACTGTCCTAATTTAAAGATTTGAAAAGGTTTTGGAAAGGAAGGGTGGTTTACCTGTCATCTGAAGGACACAGCGAACCCTACACCCTGGGAATGGGGAGAGACCCTGCATGTAGACGTTAGAACTGGTGCAAACTATGCCAAATATTGTCTCTGGGTAGACGCCTCCCAGCGAGAGTTCCATTGTTCTAACTCTGCTAATGATTGGAGGGAGAGGCATCTGCGGATGAAGAGGTGGGGGCAGACAGAGAAGGAATGCGAACCTCAGCCAAGAGAATGGTCCCAGAAATGGGCTGTGGAGCCGGAAAGCCCGGGTCCCTCAAATTCTGAGTGGCTGCAGGGAGGACTGTAAGAACCAGTGAGAAAGCATTACTTAGGACCCTGACCTTGAGAAGTGACCACGATTATTTTATGTACAATGCTTTCCCGTGGCTTTCTCAGAGACAGGACTACAATGCCTGATGGGAGAGGGAAGAAGGGAGCAGGTCCCTGGTGAGGAAGGACAACGAAGAGCCAGAATGGCCTAGGGAGCTGGAACAAAATCCATCATTGTTATCATGCAACCGCATTTATAAATGTCTCCCCACAAGCTGAGCGGGGCTCTGTTCAAACAGCGGGTAAACCACCTCCAAAAGCAACCCGCTGCAAGGCAGTCAGGTGCCAAAACTTGATCTGCCTGTCAGGCCAGGCACTGTTCAGGAAGCCAGAGGGCAGGGTGGAAGAAGAAAATAGAGATTAGAGATAAATCAGGGAGATAAATCAGGGAGAAAGCAGTCGAGAGCCTGCTTAGGTAAGAAGCTATCTCTGCCTGATGACAGCCCGATGGGCCCCTGGCCATTAGCCTGGCTCCCCAGGGCCCCAGCCTGCTGTCTGAAAACAGAGGTGGGGGCGGGGAGAGGCTGCAGCAGACAGGACTCCTGGCTGGGGGCCTGGGAGTCACCCAACCTCTCTGACTGGTGTCTTGGAGTAATAGTCCTATCTGCCCTGCGTGACTGGGGACACTAGAGCTTTTGTTTTGAAGAGCCTGCCACGAACCCTTATGCAGATGAGGATGGGTTTCATCTATGAAACGCTCCACTGACAGGCCCGCCAGGCCCGCTTGAAGAGTAGACCCGAAGGAAACGGAACCACTGGGCACTTGATGGGCACAGGCTGAGGCCAGCCTGGTGCTTGGCGATAATTCCCTTGCAGACAAGCCGGGCTATGGGGGGTGACTCCTCCTGGCAGAGGATGTCCTTCCCTGGACCCCACCTCCTGGGCACTATGGACACAACAGGAGGGGAGGAGACCGCCGCATGGCCGCCCCCAGCCCTTGTGCGCTCTGTGGTGGGGTCACCGCGATGATGCCAGTGGCCTCTGGCAGTCACACGTTGGTGGGAGCACAGTGCTGGGGAGGAAGGCCTGGGTGGGAGAGACCTGCACATCACAGCTCCTCCTTGTTGCTGGTGAGGGGCTGGTCCAGAGGCCCCGGGGCCTGGGGCTGATCTGCTGGCTCCTGGAAGCCAGGCCGCTGGCCATTTTCCTCGCTGCGCTTGCCTGCAGCGGCATAGCTCTGCAGGAGCCCGCTATCCACTCGGTGCTGGCGGAGGCTCCCGGTTCCCACCAGCCCTTGCATTCTCAGGTATCCCTGCTGGCAAAAGGGCGGCAGCTTCTGGCGTGTGAGGGCGAACAGGAAGCAGGACTCTACAGAAAAGCAGAAGGAGATGAATGAGAGGTGTGGGCGAGGTGCAGGAGGAGCTGCCGGGGTCCCCTGGGGCCTCCCCCAGGATCCTCCATCCCTGAGGCTGGGAGCTGCCTTTTCTGGGTGTCTCATTTCTAACCGAGTGGCCATGGAACTCAGCCCCTTCCGTAGTTCCAGGAATCGGCTACCCCAACATTTGGGAAGATCGAGGTTCCAAAGTGAAACAAACTAGAGATGATTCAGCTTCCAGAGATGGGGCCAGCAGGATGCTCTGCCCAGGCCAGCCTGGTGGGGGACTCAGTCCCCTTTGAGCTCAGAGTTGCCTGCATAGATTTCTTCCCTCGATAGTATCTGAGTGGCAAATGCCATGTGCAAGCCCTGCTCTCAGCGCTGCGGGGGTTATGAAGACAAAACGGGCCAGTGGCGCCTGTGATCTACCCTCCTCGGTGCCCCAGCAGTTGGCGGGTCAAATCCGACAGATTAGGAAATCACGTGGGCACTGATTATTGAGAAATAGGAAGAAACCACCGGAAGAGCTAGAAGCAGTTCCTTCTGGAGAACGAGAATGGAGGCGGGAAAAAGCCTTGGAGCCAGGTGTTACATAACTTAGGTTAAAAAAATAAACTAGAAAGGATGGAATGTGGGCTCAGTGTCCTGAGGGACCGAGACAGGATGGGAAAACGGAGGGAGGGTAGAAAACCAGCTTGAGTCTCTTATTTCACAAAACGGGCACACAGGGGTGGGCAAAAGTAGGTTTACAGGTGTTTGAACGTCAGACAAGCAGGTTATAATGATGACAATAGATCTATTAACTCAAAAGGATGTCCCAGTGCGGCTGTAAGCCTACTTTGGCCCACCCTGGTCCTGCAAGGAATGTTGGGAGGCCTCCAGGGATGTATAGCCTGCTTCACAAATATTATTTCCCACTTTAATTCTGACTCACAGCACAGACGGTCCCTGCTGACCCTCTCTGAGCAGGGAAGACAGCAGGGGCCAGGGCCAGGGGAGCCCAGTTCATCATGGAAGGAGGCAGGGAGAAGGCCACCTTATGCCAGCTGGCCCCTCTGCCAGGTAGGATTCTTCCGAGTTCAAGGCACTGCCTGTGCTAGTGTCTAGGGAGTGGGAGCCAGGAGGCTAAAGGGCCAGGGATGATCTAATTGTAGGAGCTAAAACTCAGGGTGGGAAGGTGTTCCCTAACCGGTCCCGGCATCTCTGTGCTCCCGAAACCTGGAGACAGGCAGGGCTTCGTGGCTGAGGTTGCTAGTCCTGTTCCATGTCATTTCACGTGTGAGCTGACGGTGTGCAGAACGCTAGCACTCTGCTCTGCGACTCGCCTGTGTTGGAGCAGTTACATGTATTTGGACGATGACGCTGAACTATTGTTTTAAGCCATGTCCCTTAACATACACACTTTTATTTCAAAGCGGCCCGAGGATGGCACCTGGGATAAAACAAGGACACTTGCTCTCTGACCTGCGGGTGAGGACTGACGGCCTCTAACCGGATTTGGTACGAATGGTGCCTTATATGCTATGGATGCTTCAAGATGCTTGCTGTTCTACAGTGATGCTGTGCAGTTCGGCCCAAACTCACATGAGGCAGGCCCTAATGGTTGGAGTCATCAGGGGCAACCCCCTTCCCTTCCCATGGGTCTCTACCATCTCCGTCTTGGGGGTTCTTTGCCTCCTAGTTTACCCACTGAGATCCAAGCTTATTTGAAGGTCTCTAAACAGACCCCCTCTGCTCCAGCCTCACCCTCCTACCCTAAGGTGACCAGATGTCCCAATTTTTAATGATTTGTCCCGCGGCGTTTTAAAAAAGTCCCGATTTTTCCCCCAAAATCGGGACTTTTTAAAAACGCCACGCGGGACGCGGGACAAATCGTTAAAAATTGGGACTGTCCCGCCAAAAGCAGAACATCTGGTCACCTTATCCTACACGCAAGTGCTGCTCACTTTCCTGGGCTCGGCCTGCTGATGGCCCACATCCAGCTTGGGTTTATGTTGGCTCTGGGGTCTCCTAACTGTCCTGCCAGCTCCCGGCGTTGGCAGGCGTGCTGTCTGGGAGGGTCTGTGAACACCTGGTCCCTTGCATGGTGGGACACGGAGCCCTGGGTTTGGGTTTCTAGATGTGTGTCCTGAGGCAGCATAGGACATGCCCTATCGGGCCTCCTTCCACCCTCTAGCTCAGGCCCGCTATCCTCCAGGGAACGTACGCTACCTGCATAGAAGCCTCGCAAATCCGTGCCCAGACAGTTCTCCAGAAAGCGCCGCAGAGGCAAGATGTGGCTCACGGGGGCGGTCCAGTCTGTCAGGAAGTCCTCCACGATGTGGTGGATGGCCGTGGGCCGCGGCAGGGGCCAGTCTGCGGGGCGGAACCGCACCTCCTGCTCTGTGGGGAGAGGCGGGGCCGGGTCAGAGCCCAGCAGCCGGGCTTCCCACTCGGGTCCGTGGCAGCGGCGTGGTTCCCGCACATTCCCAACGCCTACCCGCTCACTCCTGCCCGTGAGCTCGGCTCTCCTGGGACACCTTGTGCCGGCTGCCGTCCGCTGTTCCACGGCCATCCCCGAATGCTTGGAAGGTTAGCGTGAGGAAGCAGGACAAAACCAGACTTGTCCCTTGTGCTATCAGAGGGCAGAACTAAGACCGACCACTTGAACTTGGTGCTTCTCTAAGGCTCACGTACAAGGAGGTCTATTATGGCCACTTCAAAACTGGTTTTTCTGTGAGGAGGCTCGGGTCCAGCATCGGAAGGGGCCTTAGAGCTCACCTAGCTCATCTCCCACCTGTTGTGGGTCCCCTCTGTGGTGTCCCTGTCACATGGCTCAGGCCATGGCCCAACCATCCTGGAGTGGGAAATTCAGCCCTAGGAGGCAGCAATCCCACTGTGGACAGCTCATTACCTGCTCCTTCTATTGGATATGCACCTGCGCTCCTGCCACTTCTGCCTGCTGATACCACCTCTGCCCCTTTTGAGATCATCCTCTTCCAAGTGACAGCCCTTTGAGTTCTGAAGCAGGAGCTGGGTTCCCCGGGTGGTTCACTCCTTGGTAGCTACTGTGCCGGGCACCGTGCTGGCATCCTGTGTATATCGTCTCATTTATCCTCATGCAGGAAGGAAGGCACTGCTTTTACCCCCATTTGACGGAGGAGGAAGCTGAGGCTCAGAGAGGTTCACACGTGGTCCGAGGTTACACAGCGGGGAAAGGACAGACCTGGGAGCGCCTCCCAGCTATCCTGCCCTGCACCGCTCTGCTCCGGTGTTTAACCGCTTCCAGCTTCTCTCCCTGTTCCTTCTACTCCTCTCCAAGTCCCTCCGCCCCACTCCATGATGAAACCAGGTGTTTCCCCTGGAGACACACAGCAAGACAGCGCCCCTCTACTCTGTGGTGCCTGGAGATCATGCCACCCCACACATGCCCTGTCCAGGTCATGCATGGTACAGGCCAGAACCTGGGACCAGCACTTATCCTTCTGGACCTCCCGTCTTCATGCAGAGTCCCCAGCGCGCATCCTCTGTCAGTGGAGTGTTGTGGGAGGGATTCATGGTGACACCTCGCTACACAGCGGGGGCTCCAGGAGTGCCCACCTCAGGAGAGCCCGGGGGGAGGGAGGGCAGGGCCGGCTCACCGGTGGGCAGCTGCCTGTAGTAGTAGATGACGGGGTGCAGGAAGTTGGACTGCCAGGCGTCCTCCGTGTACCCCACGGACCGGTCATAGAAGAAGACGTCCTTGTCAGGCCCGGAAAAGTTCCTGCCGTACTCCATGTCGACGACGAAGAGCCCGTGCCGGGCCTGCCTGCCGGTGACCGTCTCCAGCTGGGCCAGCATCTGCATGGGGAACTCCTCCAGGTACTCGAACGCGGTGCCGTTCCTGGGACCGAGGCACATGCAGGGCGAGACCCTCAGGGCTGCGCGGAGGCGAGGCGAGGCGTGTGCACGCGGGCCTGTGGGCACGTGTCTCCCTCCCTCCAGGAAGTGACCATCAAACAGCACACAGACTCTGACCGGCCCCGCACATACATCTCACATTCCTGTTACAGCTGAGCCCTGGGACGGGGCGCAGGCCTTGGTGTGTCCTAGGGACAGGAAGGAGGCCATGGTGGCTGGAGTGCGGGGGGGTGGGGGGTGGGGGGACACGACACGACACACACACAAACACACACACACACACACACATCTGGTTTCATCTGGACTGAGGGGAGCCACGGGCCCTGGAGAGCACTGAGCAGAGATGAACTGCTGAGACTTGTGTTTTGTAAGGGCCGCCCTGGCCACGCGTTGAGAGCAGTCCGCTGCTGGACCAGGGCCCGTGAGAGATGCTGGAGGTCTGGACCAAGGGGCAGGGCAGGGCTGTGAGGGGAGGTCAGTTCTAGACAACCTGAAGGAGAGCCAACGGGACTTACGGGTGGTCTGTGTGGTGATGGGTGTGAAGGCGAGAGGGTCAAGGACGACGGGAGGGTGCTGCACCGAGCACCGCCCTGATGGGGTGTGTGCGGCTCTCCCGGCTTTGGGCCCGCTGTTTCCTCTGAGGGCTCTTCCTCTGCTTCTCACCCGCCGCCTGCCCCTACAGGGCCTCCCCCAGCCCTTCTACAGCCTCCTGCTCAGGAAGTGTCCCTGACACTGGACGGATGTCCCGGCCCCCGGGAACTCACGGATCTCGCTGGTGTTGCGGTTTACTGCTCATCTACTTGGTGCCAGATGCTTTTTATGAGTTACCTTTCTCCTTCCTACAGGTCTGCCAGGTATGCAGAGCCCCCACTTTACCCCCATCCCGCAGGTGAGAGAAAGGCTCCGAGGGGCTAACTGGCCCAAAGTCACACGGGTAGAAAGAGGCATCGCCTGGTTCACATCGCCTGGTTCTGTCTGCAGAGCTGGTGGCGTGGATTCCACTGACTTTTCTCCAGAATAAATCCGTCTCTCCTCCCCTCACCCCTGTTTCTCCTCGGGCTTCTTCTTAGGAGGGACCCGCTGGGCTATTCTGCACTTGGGATGGGAAGAGGTGTGGCAAGGGGAAGGTGAGGCGGCGGAGGGGGAGCGAGGTGGGGGTGGGTGACTCACTCCTTCACCAGGACGATATCGGCGAGCACACCGAACATCTGGTAGAGCCCAGAGGCCTCGTTCACGCGCCGGAGGACGGAGCTGGTCAGCTGTGCGATGGGGAGCTCGGTGGAGGGCCAGGCGACGCCGTGATGGCGGTGCTCCAGCAGCCGGTGGACGGCACGCACTGAAATGGCCAGAGGGAGGGATGACATGCTGCCCTGAAGGGTTTACCTTTCGCCTGGCCGATGTGGCTCAGTGACTGAGCGTGGATCTATCAACCAGGAGGTCACAGTTTGATTCCGATCAGGGCACATGCCTGGGTTTTGGGCTCCATACCCAGAGGGGGTTGCAGGAGGCAGCCAATGAATGATTCTCTCTCATCACAGATGTTTCTCTTTCTCTCCCTCTCCCTTCCTTGCTGCAATCAATAAAAAAACATTGAAAAAGAAGAATTTAGCCGAAACCGGTTTGGCTCAGTGGATAGAGCGTTCGCCTGCGGACTGAAAGGTCCCGGGTTCGATTCCGGTCAAGGGCATGTACCTTGGTTGCGGGCACATTCCCAGTAGGGGGTGTACAAGAGACAGCTGATTGATGATTCTCTCTCATGGATGTTTCTAACTCTCTATCCCTCTCTCTTCCTCTCTGTAAAAAAATCAATAACATATATTAATTAAAAAAAAGAATTTATTATTTGCCACCAACTTCTCTAAACTCAATATACACTGTACGCATGACGCCCAGAAGATGCCGTTAGAGCAGGGTCGGCAAAGGGTCTGGAAAGGGCCGGTGGAAGCATTTTCGGCTTTGCAGAGGCTGTCAGGTTACTCAACTCCGCCTCCGGTGTGGAAGCAGCCACAGGGGACGGCTAAGTGAAGGGGCGTGGCCGAACCCGGTGCCCAGGCCCGTGTTTGCCCCCCTGCCCTCGCCATGCGCACATGGAAGTCCCACAGCTGTCACTCCATGTGTGGCGTGTCAAAACTGGACCCAGAGTCTCCCTCTGCAACCTTCCCCCTCGCCCAGTCCCCATTCCTGCGGGAGCCCTCCACACGGAAACCCTCTGATTGCTCCCTCTCCTTCCCGGTCTAAATGCAGTCTGTTACCGGTTCTATTTTGAAACGCTCTGTGTATTTATGTCAGGACAGAAAAGCCACAGCTGTCTGGAACAACAGGAGACGTGTTCTGTGTGCCTGGGGCTGCCGCATTCAGTTGTGAAACTGGGGCACCGCACACAGAGGCCTGATCTTCCAAAACGAATCAACACAACACCCAGACCCGGGAAAGGCCAGGGCACAGCAGCTCACGTGACCGGGGACTCGCTGGCCCGCGGTCACAGCAAGGCGTGCAGCCTCCCCAGACATCTGGCTCTCCAGAGGAGACCAGGAGAAGCCGAGTTTCGCAAAAGGTTGAGGAATCACACCACCAGAGACGTTTGGGACGGTGCCCCAACAAAAGGAACGCATATGAGGAGGAATAAAATCCTCAGAGAGCCTGGCACCTCTTGACAAGCAGGCGAGGGACCAGGCTGGAAGGGCGAGCTGGTGTTGGCTGCACAGAGCACTGAACGCCATGCTGGGAGTTGGATCTCCCTGCGGAGACGGGGGAACCACTCAAGATGTGGGAATAGAGGAAGGATCCAGTTGTTGTTGTTGTTTTAAAGGTTGTTTTGGTGAGTACTATGGTAGGGGGGGTTACAAGACAGAGATGGGAGACGGGCGAGGCTCCCAGCAAGTCCCACGTTCCAAGCAGTTCCGGTCTGTGCCGCTGCCCAGCTTTTATCTCCTGTTGCTTCACTCTGCCTCACTGTTTGCTACTTGTCTCCCTCGGGGCCTGTTTCTCGGATGAATGATGAGCAAGGACTGGGCAGCATGTACTGTGTAGTCACCCGTCCCTCCCCCAGGAGGTTCCTCAGTGAGTACTGACCACAGCGATCTGCGGCCCACACACCCACGTCTGTTTCTCATTTGCCCGAAGCTCTGTGGTTAGCCGTGAGCACCAGTCAGGCAGATACGGGTTCAAATTTTCCATCTTTGCCACCCACTGGCTGGGCGACTGTGGGCAAATTACCTAACGTCTCTGTGCCCCAGTTTCCTTATTTGCAAAATGGAGTTGAAATACCAGGATGTGTCTCGTGGGGCTGTTGTGCGCTGGAATAAAAGGGGCGGAGGACAGAGGGAGCAAGAGGGACAGGGCGGCGTGTGCCAGGAGAGTGGGTGCAGGGAGGGTGCCGGGCACAGGAACAGTGATGAGGGTTTCTTACTGGGGGGACTAGGCTGGAGACACTCTTCTCGTACCGTGTGTGTGCATGGGCGTGTGTGTGTGTGTGTGTGTGTGTGAGTGTGTGTGTGTGTGTGCGCGCGCACGTGTGTGTGTTCAATCTGCAAATACTCTGCTTTACAGACAGCTAACACTCCCTCCCTGGTGTCCTTCTCTGACGACACGTGTGGGGTGCAAAATATACTTCCTGGAAATCAAGAGTAAAACATAGCTATCTTTCTCTGCCAAACTGGAAGGGCAGTAAAATGCAAAAGTGAGCATTAAGGCAGTGCGAGGCACCAAATTAAACACAGAAAAGACAGAATGACAGAATGCAGGGTGTAGGGCCTTCATGGTGTTTGCGACAGAATTAACGGCTCATGTAACACCTGCCACGCAATAAAGCACCCATCCCACAGCATCCCCAGAGGGCAGAAAATTTATACCTACGGTACCCAGATCTCCAAAAAAGGAGCATATATAATCCAATTGTAATTATTTTTTAAAGAAAAAAATATTTTTATTGGTTTCAGAAAGGAAGGGAGAGGGAGAGAAACTCCAATGATGAGAGAATCATTGATCGGTTGCCTCCAGCACGCCCCCTACTGGGGATCAAGCCTGCCACCCGGGCATGTGCCCTTGACCAGAGTCGAACCTGGGACCCTTCAGTCTGCAGGCTGACGCTCTATCCACTGAGCCACACCAGCTAGGGGTCCAACTGTAATTTCTATTCAGGTTTGTCGGTACCCAAAACGGTGTGTTATGCTTCACGGCTGCACGGTCCCAGGTAAATAAGGCCTTGTAGTCCTTTTCAACAGTTCCTCCAGGGCAGGGGCCTCTCCTCATTCCCATCTCTGCTGTGAGGGCGCCCACAGAGCTTAGAGAGGTTATGAAGCCTAACCTCTGAGGCCACCCCACTGGGGAGGAACCCAGGTTAACATTCCTCAAGCTCAGTGTTCTCACCAATACATGGCACTTCGCCCGACAGGACACAGGCAGTAACACACAGCCCAGATGTATGTACTTTAAGGTGACCAGACGTCCCGATTTAAAAAAATATATATATTTTTAGCCGAAACCGGTTTGGCTCAGTGGTAGAGCGTTGGTCTGCGGACTGAAAGGTCCCAGGTTCAATTCCGGTCAAGGGCATGTACAATGGTTGCGGGCACATCCCCGGTGGGGGGTGTGCAGGAGGCAGCTAGTCAATGTTTCTCTCTCATCGATGTGTCTAGCTTTTTATCTCTCTCTCTTCCTCGCTGTAAAAAAATTAATAAAATATATTAAAATATATATTTTTATTGATTTTTTTACAGAAAGGAAGAGAGAGGGATAGATTTTTTTGAAAAAATCGGGACTTTTTTAAAACGCTGAGGGACACGGGACAAATAGTTAAAAATCGGGACGTCTGGTCACCTTAATAAACTTTTATATTTTATCAGATGCTTTTCTAGACCTATCCTCATGGAAACCCATTGCTGTCTGCCCCAGACACGGAACGAAAGACAGTCGACTACTGATGAGCAATCCCTTGAAGGCTGCTGGGAACCGGAGTGGGTTCCTGAGCTGAGAGGTGGCTCACCTGTGTATCGGAATCCGTGGATGAAGCCCCCAGCAGACTTCCGGTAATCCACAGAGTGGCTGGCCGTGCCCAGGACAAAGAGACCACGGCTTCCTTTGGACTCATAGCTCGGTCTGACCAGCGGGTACTTTTTGCTGAACTCGCCCCCTGAAGACAGTCTGAGGGACCTGTGAGCAGAAAGTGTTAATAAAAATCGCTGCTGTGCATGAAACACCAATTAGAGGCCTGGCTCTGAGCTAAGTGTTTTTCTATTCCTTGTTGCATTTAAATCCTACCACGACCCAGGAGGCAGGTATGATCATCCCCATTTAACAGATGGAGTAACTGAGGCTCGGGTTAAAGATGTGGTGGCTCTGGATTCAAGCCTGACTCAAGGCTGGGCTCTGGGCTATGACTGGGCCTTGTGTGAACAGATGGGACAGGAGAGTCTGGCTCAGGCCCTCCAGGTTCTCGTCTGCCTGGGCCCTGGCCAGAAGGGAAGTGAGACCCTGGATGAATTCTTGATACTAAGCCTGAAAGAGGAACCGGGGCAGCAATGTCTGAAGATGAGGATCTACAAAATGCAGTTATAAATAATTTCAGCAGCCAACATTTGATCGAGCATATAGTATATGCCAGGTAGTTTTCTTTTCTTTCCTTTCTCCTTCCCTTCTTCCTTCCCTTTCTTTCTCTCCCCTTCCCTTCCCTTCCTCACTTCCTTCTTCCTTCCTTCCTTCCCTCCTCTCCCTATCCCCTTCCCTTGCTTCATTTCTTTGAGGAAGAGAGAGGAATAGAGAGTTAGAAACATAGATAAGAGAGAACCATTGATCCGCTGCCTCTTGCACACCCTCCACTGGGGATGTGCCCGCAACCAAGGTACATGCCCTTGACCAGAATCGAACCCGGAACCCTTCAGTCCGCAGGCCGACGCTCTATCCACTGAGCCAAACCGGTTTCGGCCATTTCTTTGTTTTTTAATGCTCTTAACTGGAATCAATCCTAAGACCCTTTGGCCTGCAGGCTGACTCTCTATCCACTGAGCCAAACCTGTTAGGGTCCAAGTAGTTTTCTATATTCATCCTCACAACAGGCCTCTGAGAAAGGAACTATGATCCCCATTTTAGTGATGAGAAACTGGAGCCAACTATGTAAAGCAACTCTCCCAGAGCTCACAGATTTGGTAAGAAAGAACCTCAGACCGACCCCCGAGTCTGCGCTCCTGGCCACCATACTGCCTTGCAGCAAATTCACCTCCTGGTCCTCGCCTTCCCACCTCTCAGGTGGAAGATCACAACACAGACGAAGACTCGCTACTGCTGCTGCTCCAAGGAGGAGGGGCTCAGGGCCACTGGGTCCTTCTCAGTGGACAGAGAGCCACCATCCGGGCGGGAAACCAGGCGGCAGCCACATCCAGGCTGAGGGCGGAGGCCAGAGAGCCTGGCGCTGGCTCTGCCGGATGGGGACGCTGCTCCCCCAGGGAGGGTGTCCGAGGGGTTTGTGTGAGATCCCAGGTCCCCTGTCACTCGGACTCACTTATTGAAAATGGAGAAGTCGAAGTTCCAGCCCAGGCAGCGGATGACGCGGTCGTAGGCCACGCGCATGGCAAAGTTGTCGCTGTCGTCCTGGGGGAGGGGGACGGCCTCGGCACTCTGGTTGCCCTCCTCCACGTAGAACTTGAGGGTGATGTGGAACTTGCCCTTGGGGTCCTTCACCACAGCCAGATCCGTCAGGTCAGACTCCAGCAAGCCGTCCAGGGACTTCAGCTGGTAGGTGTCCAGCAAGCCGTTGTTGATGGCCCTGGGGCCCGAGGAACATGCAGGAGAGAGAAAGGAGTCTGTGCTGGGTACAGGGGGCTCTGGGGAAGAGGTGGTCAGTCTAGCCGGGGTCGGGAATGGCTTCAGAGGGGCTGGAACACACAGCACCCTGGAGCTGCTGCGTGGCATACCTGAGGTCTCCCACGTAATGGGTGGCCCAGGACAGCCGGACGCGGGAGCGGCTCAGCATGTGGACAAAGTTGGTGACACCCAGGATGTTCTCTGCCGTCTCGAAGGCCGAGTTCCCTCGGCCCAGGATCAGCACGTTCTGCCCCACAAAGTCCTCCGGGTCCACGGACACAGACTCGTAGCCCTCTGCATACTCAGCGCCGGGGAAGTCCACCAGGTTGGGGACGGACAGACCGGTGGCGACAAGGAGGACGCTGCAGGTGGGGAATGAGGAGAAGCTGGCTTAGTCTCTTAGCTGCCAGACACACTAAGGAAAAGTCACTTTTGGGACCTGCCACCTGGCTCACACAGCTGCTCCTGAAAGAAAACAGGACAGCCCAGCCGGGTGTGGCTCAGCGGTTGAGTGTCAACCACAAACCAAGAGGTCACCGGTTCAATTCCCAATCAGGGAAACATGCCTGGGCTACAGGCTCAATCCTCAGCGTGGGGTGTGCAGAAGGCAGCCAGTCCATGAGTCTCTGTCATCGCTGATGTTTCTATCTCTCCCTCTCCCTTCCTCTCTGAATAAAAAACAAAACAAAAACAGGATATTCATTCATCTGATGACTGAGCTATCCCAGGATATGTGAGCCTTTACCCCTATCCCTCACTGAGCTCACTCCCTTTACCTCTTACTGAGATTATACCAAATATGGGAATTTGACTGACAGGAGAAGGCAGCACCATGAGAAAGCAAGTAATTCATCCAATTCTGAACACAGCAGTCAGACCAAGTATCCCTCTCAGCGATGAGAAGGAGACTCGATGTTCCTACTTCCCCTTTCTGACTTGCTGGACAAATGCAGACATCTGTTGAAGAGTAACCTCTACAGACTCTGTACATGTTTTATGTGTCATCTTACAGCTCAGAGCAACCCTGATGGATTTATGTGGCCTGCTTTACAGGTGAGGAGACGCACAGGCCCACAGCTGGCGTCCAAAGCTCCATGTCAGCAGGCCAGACTCTGCCCACAGATCAGCAGGCTGCCCAAGTCCTGCTCTTCATATTGGTGGGTCTGCAGTGCTGTCGAGGCCGGATGGGGAGCTGGATCCTGCCGGCCTGCAGAAGAATGATTTGTTCATGGGGTGGTTTCAAAAATCGAACTGGGAAAAAAATCCAACTGGATGTCCTGTAGAAGGGGCATAGGCTGCCCTATCACTGTGTCTGCTGAGTCTTGTCCACTCTGCTCCTATCTGCCTCCCCGACGCTGTAGCACAGCTGTTTGGATGCAGGGGTCAGGATGGCTCAGCCTTCTCTCCCTGGCTGTAAGCAGCAAGGAGCAGAGCTGGGCCCCTGCCAGAACACAGGGGCAGATGAACGCTGATTGAGCACCTGCTGGGAGCCAGGTGCACAGCTAATGGCCAGGAAGTGAGAGGCAGTCTGGGGCAGCTGGAAAGAACACGGGCTTCGAGGTCAGGAAGATAGAAGCTCAAATTGCAGCCTGAAAGCTGTGTGAAGCTTTGTGCAGTGGCAGTGTCGTAGGCAATGGGGTTTCTCCGAGGTGTGATTATTGCTAATTGAAAACTTTTCCCAATTAAAAAAAAAAAAAAAAAAGCTGTGTGCTGCAGCACCAGTGGCTGGGCTTCTCTCAGACCCAGTTCTTCATCTGTAAGATGGGAGTCAGTGACCCTCCCCCACAGGGTGCTGGTGAGGCTCAACAAGTGCAGTCTAGTTCATGACTCTGAATCAGGGTTGCCTGCAGCAGTGGTCGGCAAACTGCTGCTCGAGAGCCACATGCGGCTCTTTGGCCCCTTGAGTATTTAGCAAAGGCCAGCTGAGGAGTACCCTAATTAAGTTAATAATAATGCACCTACCTATATAGTTTAAGTTTAAAATATTTGGCTCTCCAAAGAAATTTCTTTAAAAAAAAAAAATATATATATATATATATACATATATATTATTGATTTTACAGAGAGGAAGGGAGAGGGATAGAGAATTAGAAACATCGATGAGAGAGAAACATCGATCAGCTGCCTCCTGCACCCTCCCCCACTGGGGATGTGCCTGCAACCAAGGTACATGCCCTTGACCGGAATCGAACCTGGGACCCCTCAGTCCGTAGGCCGACACTCTATCCACTGAGCCAGACCAGTCAGGGTCTATAAAGAAATTTCAATCGTTGTACTGTTGATATTTGGCTCTGTTGACTAATGAGTTTGCTGACCACTGGCCCACAGGACGTTAAGCTGTCTTGCAAGCTAAAACTGGATGCCGGTAGCACTGCCTGTAGGGCCTTCTCACTCTTGATCGGTTCTGAAATCCCACTGGACCCCTCTCGCACTTGCTAGATCCAGCATTTCCCAGCATGTTTTGGGGAACACTAGTTCTGGGAGATGTTCTACAAAAGGGTTTTGTGGGTACCTAAGCTTAGGTAATGCTAACTACTCAATGTTGCTTCTCCCATTCCTTCCACACCCACCGGCCTCACACACAGGCAGTGTCAGTCCCTCCAGGAAAGGTCCGGCTTCAGGTGAGCGCCGGGATCCCCGCTCCTTACCTGCACCTATATCCCTGGCCCTTCTGGTCGGTCAGGATGAAGTAATGGCCATTCCAGGCCCGCCGATCCTTGTCCAGAGTGACGTGGGCGATGGCTGTGTTGTAGCGCACGCGGAGCCCCAGGCTGCTGGCGAAGTCGCCCAGGTAGCGCACCATGTCGCCGGCGTCGGGGAAGTAGGCCCGGGAGTAGTGTCGGAAGAGCAGGCGCGGGTCATGGCTGAGCAGCGAGTTCCAGTCGTGGCGGAGGTTGAACTCGGAGTTGGTCCTGCCGGTGTGCCGCTTGTTGATGCTGATGAGCTTGCGGTGCCGGGGGTAGCGCGTGAAGAAGCTGCCGGGCCCGGAGGCGCGCTCGAACACCAGGTAGTCGCGCCCGGCCCGCTGCAGGAAGTAGGCCATCTGCAGGCCCGCGGGCCCCGCGCCCAGGACGCAGTAGTCCCGGTGCGGGGGCGCCGAGGCCTCGGCCAGGTGCAGGGTGAGAGCCATGGCTAGGAGCAGCCCAGGGGCCACCCAGAGGCCCATCCCGCGCAGACCAGATGGGTGAGGCCTCGGACCAAGGTTGGCCTGAGGCCCTGGGAATGGGAATGAGTGAGATCGGGGGCCGGGCCGGAGGCAGAGGCCGGCCTGGGCGCTCCCGGCTATGTGGGGTGGAGCCAGCACCAGAACTCAAGGACTTCTGGGCTCATTTGCTATGGTTTCAAGCTTGGATCTGGAGCTCCCTCCAAAAGTCCCCAGCTCCTTCACCTCCTGCCGGGCCTCGGCTCCCAGGGGCACCACCAGCCCTCTTCGTCTGGCCATCGCAGTACGAAGGCGGGTGCTCTCCTGTTTCCTCCCTAATGTGAAGGATGCCCAACACCGCTCGGGCCCACCCCAGGCTGGAGCCTGGGGGCATGTCTCTTTGGCCACACCTCTGCTCTGGGGCTGGAGCCTGAAGGAGGCGTGGCCTGCATGGACCCCGCCCCCGCCAGGTGCCGAGCCTCCGCGGTCACGCGGCAGCGATGCCCCGCACACCTGCCGCCACGCCGCCGGCGCGAGGCCGCCCTCCGGCTGGTGCGCGCTCTTTAAGAGCCGCTCCCCGCGCGTGCGCAGTGCCCACGCCCGCAGCTCCGGCGCCCGGCACGCAGTCTCCGCACCCCCTACCTCGGCCGGCACCTCGCAGCCGCTCCGCCGGCAGCGCGCACAGTGAGGCCGGGGCGCCCAGCCCGCCCGCCGCGGACCCTCCCCGCCCCGCCCGCCGGGCCAATGGCTGGGGGCGGGGTCACGTGCGCGGCGTGCCGCACGCCGGGCCTGCGGGGTCCGTAGGCGGCGGCGGCGCGGGGGCCTGCACGTGCTGCCTGGTGGGGAGTGGGGTTGGGGGGGCTTCGGTGCCAGGGCTAGAGGTCCCGGACCTCCAAGCACCGGTGCGGGCTCTTGTTTTCAAGCTGTGCCTTTTCACTTGTGAGGCGCGGGAACAGATTATTCTTGGAGGTGATTCCAGCTCTTACGTTAAACCAATGATGTAGCTAAAGACTCGCTGGCTACCCAGGTTTTGGGGGCTGGAAACCAGGTTGATGAAGTCAAGACAGAAAACCAATGAACAGATCTTGCTGCTTTGGACTAAGAAAGGGATTCTACAGGAAGGAACTTCACAGGTTGATCTGATAATTCCTAACCGGCATAAGCATTCTTTAGTAAAAGGTTTATCTTTGCCTTAAGCAAGCCCCGTTCATTGTTTTGTGCATCTAGGACTAACACACCTTTGAAATATCTTTCAGATCCATCAACCCAAACCATGATCTAGAGAGCATATACTCTTAACTATCCTGTAATGATCCCCTCCTTCCTGCATCTTACTTTCCTTCCCCTCTTTAATCCTAAATGCATAAAAGCTGCAAACTGTCATTCTGAAGCATTTTTCCGTCTGTTGAGATCTTGCTTCCAGGTATATCCTTATAAAAATTATTTAAAGGTTTGAAAGTTCTTATATGGACACTACAACGATTCAGTCTATTAAGAAACATTCATGATTGGCTTGATCTTTCACCAACCAGTGAGGTAGCCAAAAATTCTGTTTACCCCATTTTGTAGCCATTGGCCAAAACCTACATAGGGTTAGAGTGATTTGCTTAAAATAAGTTAAGAGGTAGAGCTTGGAATTAAAATCCCCTTTTCACTCAATTATGAGCTCTTTATAAAATGTTCTTTATTCATTAATGAATGTTTTATGAACCTGGTAATGTAAATAAAGCGGCCAGTTTAAACCCACTTTAGCAGTGGTGTGGCCGGAGTGGAGGCACAGCAGGATTCTAGTGAACAGGATGGTTGTAGCTGGCCTCCCAGAGGTGGGATATGGATACTGCATGAGATCATCAACTTGGAAACAGTATCAAGTAGGTAATTCTTTGATCAAAAAGAATTAGGAAAAATATGGCAAGCCTCACGTACAACTAAATTAGACAACAAAGAAAGAGCAACTTATAGAAGACCAACCAAATGACCACCAGAGCTTTCTGTGGGATTCTCACAATGGCATAGGATGCAAGAAGGCCTCCCTTAAACTCTAGCTCCTCCCACAGACCCATCAATTACGTTAAAATGTGCCATAACTTTTATCAAGATTTACATGGACAGAACAGAGTACATTTATGAGGGAAGGACAGGAACCTTCAAGAGGCATTAATATGGTCCAGTGAGATGGAACTGAGGGTTCTCATGGGAAAGCAGCCATGCCTAGTGTGGAAAGAACTTATATTCTAGCTTTGCATGGCTGGAGCTGCTGCTTCTTTTTAAAAAAAAAAATATTTTATTGATTTTTTACAGAGAGGAAGAGAGAGGGATATAAAGTTAGAAACATCGATGAGAATCATTGATCAGCTGCCTCCTGTACACCCCCCACTGGGGATGCGCCTGCAACCAAGGTACATGCCCTTGTCCAGAATCGAACCCAGGACCTTTCAGTCCCCAGGCCAATGCTCTATCCACTGAGCAAAACCGGTTTCGGCTGGAGCTTCTTTTCATAAAAAATAGCTGAGTCCAGCCGGCTTGGCTCAGTGGTTGAGTGTAATTGACTAGGTCAGTTCAATTCCTAGCCAGGGCACAGGCCTAGGTTGCAGGCTGGATCCCCAGTGGGTAGGTGTGCAGGAGGCAGCTGATCTGATTCTCTCATCATTGATGTTTCTATCTCTCTACCCCCTCTCTGAAACCAATAAAAACATATTTAAAAAAAATAGTTGAAACCTCTTGCCTTCTCAGACCAAGGAAAACACTAACAAATGCCACTTACCTATAATTTTCATAGCCTGTATCATCATCAGAGAAAAGCACCATTGGAACAGAAACAATCTTACTCATTACGATGACCTCAGTGCACTCTCCAGTAACAGGGCATAAAGGATGCCCTCAATGAGCATCTGTTGAGCGAACATTGAAACCAGCCAGGCTAGGAAAAATACCTAACCAAAAATAAAGTAGGGAGGTCTACCTCTTAGTGGTTGTGAAGATTTGAGAATGGAAGCTGGCAAATAATGGAAGTATCTAAAATAGTTGCTGGTCGTATTTGGTAACGGGAAATTAGGACAGATGAAGTGTGGCAGGGCTTGGAGACCAGGCTGAACCTGGATTGTAGGCAGCAGGATGCTAGCCAAGGCTTTTGAGTTAGGACTGTTTTTAGCAATCATTTTGGTGGCACCAAACAGAACAGAATGAGCAGGGGACAGATCAAAGAAATGAAGTGTTTGGAAGCTGATGCAAAATGTTTTGTTGGCACGAAACCCAACTTCCGCCTGCCCCCTTGTCCCAGCAAATCCACCTGGATTGCATCATGAGTCTGCAAGAGGCAGCTTGGTATTAGTTGAATTTTGAAAACCCTTGGCACTTATCACACCACTTTTTCTTTTTTCAAAAAAATGTATTTTATTTTTTTTTTCAGAGAGGGAGAGGGATAGCTGCCTCCTGCACACTCCCTACGGGATATATGCCTGCAACCAAGATACATGCCCTTGACTGGAATCGAACCTGGAATCCTTGATTCCGCAGGCCGACATTCTATCCACTGAGTCAAACTGGATAGGGCTGTCACACCACTTTCATCCGTCATTTTTATCACTACCTACATTGAAAACTCCCTAAGAAGCACGTTTATGCTCTATCTTTCTAATAACTCTAACAAAGTATCGGGTCTAGTAATAATTAATGTCGTTTTGAAACATTCGTTTAAAATCTTGCTTGGCGTTGACTTGTATTGACATAACCTTCAAACACGTGGTATCTACAGAACGTGTGAAGTGCAAATAACAAGTTTTGCTTGAAAAAGTTTGTGTTTGGTTTGGTTTTTGTTGCAAAACTAGGGCTAAGAAGATGACGGATGAAGAGCATATTCGGCACTGCATGCTTTACGAGTTCCAATTAGGAAGAAAAGCAAGTGAAGCCGCAAAAAACATCTGTAGTGCTCTTGGTCAAGATGCAGTTAGCGCCAGAAAATGCCAGCGATGGTTTGAGAAATTTCGCGAGGGAAATTTTTCGTTAGATGACAAGAGTGGTCGAGGCCGTGTGTCCACTTTTGATCAAGAAGCTCTTCAAGCTCTTTTGGTGCAAAATCCTCAAACTACCCAACAAGAGCTTGCGACAACTTTAAATTGTTCACAAAAAACAATTTCCAATCAATTGCGTGCACTTGGCAAAGTCCAAAAGTTTGGAAAATGGGTTCCTCATGAGTTGACCGACAACAACCGTAATCAAAGAGTCACAATATGCAGTTCGCTCCTCTCTCGTCAAAACCGTTTGCCGCTTTTAGAGCAAATTGTTACCGGAGATGAAAAATGGGTGCTGTATGTTAATTTGAAAAGGCGGCCTCAATGGTTGGACAAAAATGAGGCTCCGCAGCCCACGCCAAAACCTGACTTGCATGTGAAAAAGGTGATGTTGTGTGTTTGGTGGAATTTTAAAGGAATTCTTCATTATGAACTTTTACCATCTAACCAAACCATTACAAGTGCAGTGTATAGTGCCCAATTGGAAAGGTTAGCCCAAGCTTTAAGAGAAAAAGAACCCGCGCTGATTAATCGGAAGGGCGTAATTCTTCACCACGATAACGCAGGACCGCATACTGCAAGAATCACTGCTGAAAAACTGCGCTAGTTGGAATGGGAAGTTCTCCCTCAATCTGCATATTCTCCTGATATTGCCCCTTCCGATTACCATTTGTTTCGTTCTTTGCAAAACTTTCTTCTTGGAAAAAAAAAATTTAATAATGAAGAATGCCTCAAAAATGCATTGACCGAATTTTTTGCATCAAAATCACAAGAATTTTACAACAGAGGGATTAAAATGCTTCCTGAGCGTTGGGCACAAGTAGTAGAAAACAATGGCAACTATATTGTTGATTAAATTTTGTTGTATTGTTTAAATAAATTCGATTTAAAAAAGGTATTAGAAAACGACATTAATTATTACTAGACCTAATACATTTCGCTTGTTTTTTTTTTAAGGTACAATTTTGATTAAAATTTAGGATGTTACTCAGAAGCTGAGCCTGTTTCCTCCTCTGTACAATGGTATCCCTTCCACCAACATTGTAAGTTCTGTGTCAGGCTTGGGTATTTCCAGAAAGCTTAGTACAATACCTGGCAATGTAATTACTTCATAGTCCCAAGAACAGAACACTATCCCTTTAATAAAAGCAGTGCTCTTACTAAAATAAGTTTACATATCCTAAACATCTGTAACTCTGATTTATAAACGCTGCTTTGAGTGCCAGCTTGAGACGGTCACCAGCTCAAGCCACGCTTGAAAACAATTTACAACCATTTTGATCACCACCCAGTGGAACGCCACAATCTTCTGAGGGAGTCTCTGTGAGCAACAG